GTTGAGGATTCCCAGCTCCAGGAGGGAGCCCAGGGTCTGGTTCTGTGCCTGGTTCTGCCTTGGGGCTGGTGACAGACACACAAGCATCATTTAATAAGCTGCTATGGATAAAGCAGCCATCCCAGAGCGGTCTTTTTTTCTGGAGCTTGAAAAGGTCAGGGACATATGGGGTGGGTGTCACCATAACCCCACAGGCAGCATGGGGCAGAGTGGTCCAGCTCATTCTCCAAGGTGACTCCCTTTAACCTCTTCCTCTTGGCTCAGGGCATGGATACGGACTCAGAATCAATTGGCTCCGGGGCACAGGTTTGGCCCAGCCCAATTAACACCTCGTAGATAAAACCTTGGCGCCATTCGGGGCGCAGTATGGTCTAGGATCTGTTCCAAACAGATGGGCAAGGCCAGGTTGTTGCTGTGGAAGGGATTTTAGCTGTGTGGGCACAAGACATGTTGTGACACTGGCCCTCCCTATCTAGGGCTTGCACTTGGTTTATTTAGCAGTATGAGCTTAGCTGGGAGGGCCTCTGAGTTGGCCTTCAGAAGCAGAGATGTGGCCTTTCTTCTACCCACGCTAAGGACAACAGTCTCTAACTCGTTCCCCTGCCACAGCAACAAGCAGTGACAGAGTGACAAGACAGCCAATATGTGTATTTGGGGAGACACAGGAGGAGGAGACAGGGAAGAGGGGGAGCAGACGGCTTTTCTGCACAAGGGAACAAGGAGGGCAGGTGCTGAGGGCCTGATTTGTCCCATCTAATGCACTTCTCCTTGGAGCAGGGAAGAGACATGGGAGGGAGACGAAGCCCCAGGAGCAGAGGAAGTCCYTGCCTTRCAGGCAGCTTCCTCCAAGCCCCAGTGAAGGCTCCAAGCAGAAGGGAGGAAAGCAGGAAGGAGGCTCCCCATCCTGCACAGATGATCCATAGTGCAGTGCTCCACCTGCCACTGTGTCTCCGTGTCTCCCCTTCCTGCCTCAGGCACTTTTATTTGTGTTTTATGGCTTATTTTTCCTTTTTTTTTTAAATTTATTTTCCTTATTTTTCCTTTATGGCTCTTATTTTTCCTTCTCATTGTGATTACTTCTTAAACTTGTGCAGAGCGAGCCCAGGGGCAGGGAGTTCCACAGCTGATGAGGCAGAACATCAAGATGTTCAGCATCTTYAGGCAAGGCACGTGGATGTCCACACCGTATCGCTTAAAGCAGATTGAGCTCATCCTCACAGCAGGTAAATCCTTTCCTAGAAAGATTGATTCCCCTCACAGTGGGGCTCTGCAACCTGGTTATTTGGAGCTTCTCAAGTATTTATCAAAGGCCAGGACTTGGGCTCTGCAACTCAACTGTTACGAATGACAAATGTAAAGAAAGACAAGCCCATGGGGATGCACGTCTGGAAAGGTATTTTGARGAGTGTGGAAGCAGGTTAAACCGCCACAAAGATGTGGCCATAACAGAGGGACACTTGCTCTCCTCATGCCTCAGTTTCCCATGGGCAAGTGCAGGGAGGGACAATCTTTGTGGGAGCTTTTCCACTCCTCAGCAGAAGAGCTCCAGCAGAGGATGGATGGATGGATGGATGGATGGATGGATGGATGGATGGATGGAACACACATAGGTGGAAGAGCAGGCATTAGGGCTGTCAGCATCTTGCTAGCAGCACAGTTGACCTTAGCATTAGGCATCCTGCAGAAATGCCTCAGTATGCTCCTAACATGTGACAAGCAGAAGCTGAGCTGGGGACCAGAGCCTCAGCTGGTGTCAATGATCATAGCCATGCTGGGGAGGGCATGTTCTCCCCTGGTATAAATGAGGGCAGCCTTCCAGGTCCAGGACTCCCTTTTTTGCTATTGGAACCAAGGATGATATGYTGATTTAGACCTGCTAAATACTGATCTTTGCTTGGAAGTATCTGGGGAATCACTTGCCCAGGTGGTCAGGATWAGTTGCTATTTGAGGAAGAGAAGGTCAAGCCAAGGGCTTGGATTTCCTGTGTTGTCCAGTTTCCAGCTATGACTGGCTCCTTGGAGATCAGGTAAACGCATGTGGACACCTTCCTCTGGGCACGTCCTGCCTGGAGGCCTGGCTGCTTGGAGATGATGGGATTTTCCCTCCATCCAGGCAGCTCTCCCAGCTTGATCTCCCTCCAGATGTGCCTCCACTTCTCCAGCCACTTAACAGAGCTCCCCATCTGTCAACCACCACCCCTTGCTCTTGATTCTCCCTGGGATCTCAATCCATTTGGGTGTTAGGGGGCCGATTTTTGCTAAAAGCATAATCCTGTTAATCTTTGGACTCACTGGAGCGGGTCCTTCATTGCATGGCCCCTCCACCCACTCCCCCTGTCCAACCCAAGTGCATTTGCAGGGCATAATCAAATGCAGAGGAGCTGGCCCTTTGGCTCTAATTAGTTTTGTGTGTGTGTTGGAGAAATCCATTTTCATAAACAGGGAGGATTTATGCTCTTCGCTTTGGTCTTTTATTTTTTCTTTTCCTTTGTGAATCCACTAGCACTTTGCTCTGGGCTACCAGGGAGTCATTTTATGAATGGTTTAGATTGAGCAATGCATTATTAATAACAGCCAATCAAGCAAGTAGCGTTCTATACATCATTTCAGGCGATTAGCTTGCTTCCATAAAGTTATTTCTTGCTCTAAAAACTGCTTTTATTCCTAGTGCCTCTGTTTTTCCAAGGGGTGGATGGGGCCAGTAGGGAGTTCAACGTAAGATTTGGCATCGTCACAYGGAGATGTCACACGAGTTTCCACACCCATAGAAAGGATTACGGGCATCTCTCCACCCCGGACCTGAACCCAGCCTTATTTTGTGTTAAAATTATCCCTGCAAAAAGGCTGGGGTGCCGAGGCATTTCGGTGGCGGGTTGGAAATCAGGATCATGTCACGTGGAGGCTGTTGTTTCCCCTTCACCCTGGCGTGGGGGTCACTGCTCCCCTGTCCCGGGGACACCCTGGATATCGCCTTTCCTGCAGGGCTGGAGCTTGTTGAACGCTGCTCCGATCACCCTGCGGTGACTGATGATRATGATGATAACCCTTTTCTAGCCGGGTGACTGAGTTTTATGGCACCTCGGAGCTCATCTCGCTCCTCCAGACCATTGACTTTACTATTGTTTTACAAGATGTYGATGAGGCTGGTGACACTGGACAGATGGTTCTCGCTCTCCCATGGCTGTGTCTCTTGTAGGTGACTACCTGCTTGCCGACCTTGGCCGCTCGTTGTGTGTAACTCCGTACTAGACATCAGAGAGCCTACAGGGCATACGGGATGTGCATCCCCTCCACTGCAGGAATGTGAGAGCCTGGATGGGGAGCCTATGGGAGAGCCTGGATAAGCCGTGGCTGCCCTTGGACCTGGYGACCCCACTTGGGGTCAAAGGTGGCCTGACCCCTGCCCCAGGGTGGCCTTATCTGGGTCTGGTGACAGGTCCTCACACCCTGCCTGCGTTGCTGTCCTTGTCCACGCTCCCTTGGGATTGCTCGGAGCCACGAGGGCACGGGCGGTGCTGCAGAGTCCTGCGTGCACCGGGATGGTGACAGCCGTGAGAGGCCACGTGTGGGACAGGCGGGGCGTCGCGGTCCCCTTGTCCCCGTCTCGCAGCTAAGACTGCCTGGATGTTTCACGGCTGCTTCTGGGTCCTTCATGCAGGAGCGTGCACAGACCCATGAAGGCAGGATGCAAGGACCTGTCACCAGCTCCAGATAAGGCCACCCTGGGGCAGGAGGGAGATGTCCTCGTGATGGCCACAGCAGAGCAGATCCTGGCAAGGCCATGGGCAGGATATGCAGGTGACAACAGCTCCCTAAGGAGGGAGAAGGACAGGGAGGGATGTGTTATCCAGCCATACTTGTGTGCGTACGGATGCATGTGGACTTGGCAATACAGGGAAAGCTGCGTGGCAGTTTGTGTGGGGACCTTTTGGGCGCGTGTGCGTTTGTGAGAGCACCTGTGCACGCCCAAGGGTGCAGGTGCATGCACAGCA